ACTTACTATATATATATATATATATATATATATATATATAGGTATCAAGTTGTAAAATCAATGTATAAATATTTTATACACAATTTTGATTTTCTTGATGATAATTTGTGAGTTTTAAAAACAGGAAATACTTTATATAAGGGTGAGGCCCCGGAACAAATTAATGCTCATCTCAAAAATTCGCTAAAAGAGGTTGTTTTAATGCTTAAAAATCCTCAAATTGATCATCTCGACCTCAAGATGTATGGACTGTATAAACGAAAAGCAATCCACGAAAAACAAGAAAGAAGAAACAAACACAAAAGAAATAGACAAGCAACCACAACACAAAGATATACGTGGTTCGGCAACGTGTCTACGTCCACAGGAGATTAGAGCTGCTTTACTGACAATGGAGAATATGGTTACAATTTTCTCTATTCCTCACGCCTCTCTGTTTTTCTCTAATTACAAAGAGATCTGTATTTTTCCTTTAACCCTTAACTTTGAATGAACCCCCAATCACAACTATATACCCCAATCGCAACGATATATATCTATCTCAGATAGATAGTACAAATTACCAAAATACCCTTGTACGGATATATATCAAGTCTCTGATATATCGAATCTCATGTACGGATATATCCGAATTTTTTCTTGGGGTTATCGCCTCGAACCCCCGCAATGGCCGAATCCATCCAATCAAACTGTCAAGATGACTCATCCAAGTCATCTTTTTTACTCCACCTTGGTAGATCTATTTCCTTAAAATACAAGACATCAATTTTCCAGGCCTTCAGCCTCCAAAGTCATCTTTTTTACTCCACCTTGGCAGATCTATTTTCTTAAAATACAAAACATCAATCTTCAACATGGACATAAGAAAAAATGGACTTCAAGTATTAAAAATAATGCATCTTGTAATGCATTTTCGGATTGTCAACGTTTAAGTGTTCATAGATCTAATCAATCTACACTTTTTTTTTGATGTTTTAAATTTTATAATTAAAGATGAAAATAAATTTGGGCAATCACAAAGATTCAATATTGAAACATCATCTTTCAACATTATTTGAAGGTGTTCCTTACTTTGATTATTTAGGTCCCAGGCCTTATACAAACCACACCCTTTATAATATGCTCTTTTCTTATATTTTTCCTTTTTAAATTTTTTTTTCTTAAATGTTTCTGGTTTGTAAATCAACTTTTTTTAAATCTTCTCTTTTATATTTTTCCATTTTATTTGGACTTCTAACATTTTTTATAGTTTATTTCAAGTTTTAGAAATTTTTTAACATTCATATTCACCTGGATTGTCAACCCTTAAGTTTTGGATCACCAAAATCCACCTCTAAGATTGAGGTTGGGGGGAGGAGTCGTATAAATAGACGAGTTGACTGACTCTTTAATTTTTCTTACTCTAACATCCCTTATTACGTGGGTTTTCTTTACAAGGGCAAATGACAAATTTGCCCCATAAACGGGATGGAAGAAAAGGACTTAAAATAAGAACGGTGTGGTTTTGCATAAGGTTGCAACCTTAAACAATGAAAAGTAAGACACACCCACAAACTTTGTCATAAGATGTAAATTTTAGTGTCAAAAAATCTAAAAATGGTACGAAAATCTGTTTTCATTTTTAATTATAAATTTTAAACTCCAAAAATGGTTAAATGGAGTAGATCTATAAATACTAGATAATCTTTAAAATGGATGTTGTAGATAATGTATTATAATATGTATTACTTTTGAGACTTAAATCTTTTTTAACCCCTATTTATGCATCTTGATGTCAAGACGATCAATTAGATAGTTTTTCAACATCAAAACAGTCTTTTCCAAGTATTTTTTAAGAGTAATTTAACTCAATTTAAGACGTCAACCCTATATAAACTTTCCCCGGTTGAAAATGTTGCTGGACGAGAGAAAGTGATCTAAAGAGGGGCGAGGTTTGTAAGAGGTGTCAACCTCATACGGCTCAAGTGCACTTCATAACAATGTAAAAGAAAAGCCATACGAAGGCATGCAAAAATCTATTGTCGCCTTTAATTATAAAATTTAAAGTTAAAAAAATGATGCAAATTAGGTGGGTCTATCAGTAATTAAAATGGACAATTCAATAATTGCATAACAAAATACAATATTTTTATGACTCGAAATCTTTTTTTTCTGTATCTATACATCTCATGTTGAAATGATAAATTTGAGTGTTTGTTAACAACTTAAAAAACTTTTTTACTTTGGGATTGTATGCAATGAGACCATTTACTTTTTGTATAGGAAGGTCAAAATTAGTTATCGCCATCTAATGTGAAATCTGATAGTTTGGATGTGTAAGAAAGTTCGAAAAAAAAAAATTTGAACTTTGAGTTTGGTTAATGAAATAAATGCAGCTACTCAATTTTACATCCAAATCAAAATACCTTGTACCAAAGATAAATTGTCTCATTATATACTTTCAATTTTATTTTGAGGTATGCCTTGCTCTCTCTTTTTTTTGGTTTCTAGGTGTGCACCCGTGTGTTGTAAATCTTGAGGTGTGCCTTACTTCTTGCCACCACATGTAAACTTTTTCCCTCAAGAGGGAGAGCCTTCGTTCTCCTCCGTTTTCATGAGTAAAATCCCACAAATCTTCCAGCCTTTAGAAAGAGAATAAGCGTGTCCTAAGTTCAAAAAAAAGTGAATAAGCATGTCCTTTTTCTATAACAACAAAAAGGAACAAAAAAAAAAGCAAAAAAAAATTACAAGGATCACAGGGCGTAAAAAGCTTGGAGAGAGAGCAAGAAAAGCTATTCGCATTTCATCGCACAAATGTCTAGGGCTGTGGCTGTTCATGCACAGGCTTATTCGGAATTCTTGCTCGTTGTCGGTTGGATTGAGGATACATGAAATATTTTAGAAAATTTTTATGGACTGTCTATCTAATACAACCCTCCTTTACCAAGGGGGCTTGGGCCGGGTTAAGTGAAAGATTACCTTCCTCACCCTTCTTAGACTAACTAAATACTGCAATTTTTTCCCGCAAATAGAAAGAAGGCTTCTTGGCCGAGCCATCGCTTGAAGAAGTGCTTCGTTTGGGGTTTTTAAGCAGAGGTTTAGAGCTCCATTGCATCTCTCTCTCTTCAAATCCCCCATTATAACCCAATCACCCATTCTAAAATCCCTCTCAATGAGTATATTTAGAAAAAGCTAAAAGCCTTATGTACTAAGCAAGGAAATGAGAGAAAAGATTGACTTTTAGGATACATATTCATATAAAAATCATGACAATATTGGGATAGGCTATACGCTGTCAGAAAGAGACGGGATGTAATTTGATCCTTATGACTAAATTCAAACTCTCTGTAGACCGAACCAATTATTAGTTACCAACCACCGGAAAACAGTCCATTTGATTCATCTAACGGCATGCGGCAATTGAAGAAAGCGAATTTGGCGAGTCGAAAACGGACTGCTTACCTTAGGATTCGAATGAAAAAGCCCTTCCCTTATCTCGAATCATCTTGAAAACATGTTCATTGCGACCGTGATGTCGAAAGCTTCGATTTGAGATAAAGATCACAAGTGATGCAAAACCAAAAACACCGTATCTTGAGGTGGTCCAAAAAAAGACTACCCTAGTGAGAGAGGAGTTTAAGAGCCGTTGTAAAAGAGCCAAGGAAAAATGAAAAAAAACTCAATAAATAACAGGAGAGTTTATTCTCAAAAAAAAAAAACAGAGAAGAGATTACATGAATTCTAGATCATCATTCTGATGTTCCAAAACGATTGTTGCATAGCCAGGCCTATAGGCGCTAGATCTCAAATTCCTAACCAGCACCATTACCTCACTCCTCCCCTTCTCCACCATCTCTTTCCACTGTTCCTCTCTCAACCTCGCAAGCGCCACCCCCTCACAGAAGCCCATTGCGACCATTCTACGACTACATGACAAAACCAATCAATACAGTTAATCTCACAAATCCTAATAAGCGCGCGTACATCTACACACACACAGAGAGAGAGAGAGAGAGAGAGAGGCTGGGGGACGGACGGGAGACAAACCTTCCACGAACAAAAGCGGTTGTGACAAAGCCGATTGGCCACCGGTGAGAGACTCTGGCTTCAGGGTCTTGTGGGACCTGCAATTCCCATTTGCCAGAAAGTTGCTCTGTGAAGTATGAGATTAGTGATTTTGAAGGAATCTGAAACCCTCCCTCCTCATATGATCTGCAATTCCACACCCAATCAGGTACCACAGAGAGAGAGAGAGAGAGAGAGAGAGAGATTTCCCAATGTATTTGAAAATATATAATTAGAATATAAGGTATCCAAATAAACCAAAATTCCTTAGAAGTTTCTCATTATCAGATGACCGAAATTCAATGCTGATTAACGAGCCAGCTAACCTGGGAGTCCAAAGTGTCAAATCAGTAAGAGTAGGAGCACATACAACAGCTCCATCTTCAAAAGCCCCTTCCTTATGGGCATGGAGAAGAACTCTTAAGAAGAAAGGCTTGCACTTTTTTACTACATCACTAACACCTTTCAACCTCCATCCAAGTTTTCGTCTGCCCATCATATCCAAATACCCCCTCTTACTAATGAAGCTATTTGGATATAGAAGCAAATGACCCCCTTCATTTCTTTTCAAGTGCTCAGCCAACATTCCTGGAGTTCTTGCTGTCACATCTTGAATACAAGAGCTTACTTCTTCAGTTAAAACTGATTCACATAACCCAGAACTAGCAGCTTCTGGGGAGTTGCAAGTGATTGTTTCTTCAGTGTGGGTTTGTATGACAATGGGTCTCTCAGTTTCGCTCTCCAAAAGGGGTCCACTTACTAATGAAACTGATGCACAAGACCCAGAATTTGTAGCTTTTGAGGACTCCCTATAGAAATCTTCGCTGTGTTTTTTAGCCATAGTGGGTCTCTCAGTTTCTCTCTCTTCAAACTGTGCACTTATGCAATCCCATGGAGGAGGTATGGGAACCCTTGGAGCTCTCTTTGAAGGAGGGCGGCGTGAATCTCTCTCCTCACGAGCTTCCGCTTCTTCAGCCATGTAACGCGCGTATGACCCACAATCAGGGAAGTCATAGGGAAAAGATGGTAACCCAACCTGCGAGAAACATAGCAATTCATCATCAAGAACTTATGATTTGAACAGATCCTATTCTTGAAAAACTTGATTGTAGAAACTGATAAGTCATAACTTACATCGCCTGCAATCCAATGTCTCTCTCTTAAGCCAATGGCACGAGCACCGTGAGAAATGAGGGCGATCCAGAAAGCCTTAATCCAACTCAGAGGAAGAATGATTGTCCAACTTCAAGCAATCAACATGTGAAATAGTGAAACCCCATAAGTTGGATACTGAGAGTGTGTGTGTGTGTGTGTGTGTGAGAGAGAGAGAGAGAGAGAGAGAGAGAGAGAAACTTCTCTCTATGACTTACCCCAAACAAGAACTACCCTGACTGCCATTCTTCAAAAGCAAAATGGGGCAAGATCTTGCGGGTCCAATCTCAGTCTTAGCTCCTCCTAAATTTCTCTGATCAAGACAATAATAACCTAAACGCCTGTTATGCTTTTCTTTGCATAGAAGGCTCTCCTCAACTGGGGGCTCTATTCGAGCATTGTAAGAACCCCAAAGCTCCTTGCTATCTGAAAAAGACAGAGAAGCACATTTTTCCTCAGCCTTCAACCATGGGAGAAAAAGAGCTTCTATATCCTCATTCATGGCTACTTCACTCAAGGCAATGTGTTCTTTGGAATTGGGATTGACCTCTTCCATTTCATGATCTTTCTGAATTGAAGGAAGGACCTCACATATATCTTTGTTTTTCTTAGTAGGTAAATCACGAGGATCACTGACCACCAAAGACAAAATTGAATGCGACGGAATGTGCTCAGCATGTTTAAGAGCAAAAGCCTTTGAAATACGGGATTTGATGGCCCCATCCTTTGAGCATGCTTTCAGTTCAAACCCATTATGACTGTTGTGTGGCCTGTGAGCAACAAAGTTCAAAGTTCAGTGGTGAAATTCTGTGAAAGGTCGCAGTTTCTGAAGATTTTATCTACTAGAAAGAGCTTAAGATATAGTTAACTCACTCTGATACTGCATGCAGTATTTTCTGTAGAACTTGAAGGGCATTGCAACCCATGACGTCCAATCTGCCAAGCTTCCCCTCAAGGTCAAAGCATTTGATAAAAATGCCAGTTTCATCCATCTGTCATGTAAAGAACCAAGAAATCAAATAACTTAATAAATAATAGAATGAAATCCATAAAGAATTTTTTGTTGATGATCAAGAAAAGTAAGACTGGATGCTTTGAAGATAATAATTACCAGGGAACTATATGACAGCTAAGCATAAATGACACCACAGAATCCTCAAGAACACTAAGAAGACTTGATTGCAAACACTGACTGTTACTGGTCCCACAAAGTCACAAACATTTCTTCTTTTTTACTTTATTGAGGATAATTGGTACTGAACCATTTCGCACTACACTCAGGCATACCACCAATGTGTAGTGAGAATTAATCAAGATAACACTAAGAGGGTTTTACAATTAAAGAGAACACAAGGGACCTAAATGCGTTTCAAAAGTAGTAGGGACTTCCATGTCACATGAATTACAAAATATTTTTTGGATAAAAAAATTATTTACAAGAAAAACTTAACACTTGCATGGAGTATTTATGTATATTGTATCACATTTTTCTGGTGACTGCCCTCTCGCCCTCCCTCCCTTCCTCCCTCCCTCCCTTTAACATCCCCACCCCCCAACCCACCCCCCCCCCCTTTCCCCCCCCAAACAAAAAAAAAGCCCCTCTCCACTTTTTCCTTTTTTCTTTTTTTTTTTTCCTTCTCAACCACTCCCTCTCTGCCCCTTCACCCCCTCCCCCCCACCGAAAAAAAAAACCCACCACCCAAAAGAAATTCATTTACAAAGAAAACTAGGCAAAGTAGGTAATACTAATTAGCTTGGAGCCAGGGAAGCCTCAATAATGTAAAAGCAAAGTAACCAATGAAACATTCCACAAACTCAACTTTAGAAAGGGAAAAACATTAGGGCCTCCACAGCATAATATAAAAATGATGATAACATAAATAACGAAACAGGTGTAATAGACCAAACTATTCTAATATCTAGAAGAAAATTTCAGAATGACATGCTTCATAAAATGATTCAGCATTGAATCTTTTTTGACATACAAAATGATAGAGCATTGACTTGACATGCACAAACCAGTTTTTGGCAAGCAGATGTCAACACATTCAATCCTTCATCAAATGCAGCAGGATGAATTAATATCCAGAGCTGACGGTACTCCTTAAAGCAGTCATTTTCTCCACTGCTCAAATTTGCATCAGATTCTCTACTACTCATGCCCTCTGCCAGGGAGGGGCGCCACATGTAGGTTACTGGTGCAATTGGACGCGAGGTAGGTGTTTCAAAATGATGAAGCTGCAAAAGATGATCTCAAATGAATCAAAGTCTCACAAACGTGTTAAAGAACAAGGATCGATAACTCAATCTCCTCAGCCAATAACCTCAAGCAAGTATCTGCTAATCCAATTGGGTCATCACAGCGAGGAAGAAAGTTAAACAATCAAACATGACATGATCCATCCCTTCCCTCCCTCCCTCCCACCCTCCCCATGGATGGTGATAAAATATTGGATTGTCGAATATTTTCGCTAAAACTAAACTTACCATAGCACTTCCATAAGAAACTCCATGTATAGAAGCTTGAGATGGTTCAGCTGAAGATATTGAAGGGGGTGGAATCATAACCATCGCAAGGACTGTGAAAATAAATTTCTGGCACAAATGATCACAAGGATTGTGAAAATAAATTTCTGGCACAAATGATCACATAATAATTTAGGCAGAGACACTTCCAATAGCAAACAAAAGATAATGATGCATCAAGAATTCATCACAGAGGGAAAAAAAAAAAACCATAAAATATATCAATGAAAATTGCATATGGTTGCACACATTAAATGGCATTTATAACTTTTCAGGTGAACAATTCATGAGAAAATGCTGATACCCGCCTGTGGACCCTCTAATTGGACAACACTATAGTAACTTGCATCATGTACAAGTGCGTTATGCTTCATCCATTTCAAAACCGCTCTTGATCCCCTTCCACTGCATCACAAGTAAAAACTTCTTCCAATGATTTTCAGGTTTTGGAAATAGAAATTTAAACTTGGAAAGATAAAAAAAACCATGACCCTTCCACTGTAACTCTTAATTTATTGACAAAACTGGAAAAGAAAAGGTAATAACCTCAATCTCTCACTTACCCCCCTGCTAATCCTTGAGGAAGATGAAACCCCCACCTCTTCACCATAGAAAATCTTTTCGCATACCATCGATGTGTTCTGAGCCTCTTCGTTCCATCTCCAGAACATCCAAACCCTAACTCTTCATTCCCCTTAAACTCCATGCTCCTCCTTATTCTCCTGCAACTCTTCTTTCCTCCCTCCACTTCCAAAGAAGAATCTCTCTTCCTTTTCTTCGAAGATCGACCAGGGTTAGGGTTGCAGTTTGAAAAGCTAGTGGTTCTGCGCCGTAGATTCCTCAGGCTTCGGAAGTCCAAGCCCACGCGAGCTGAGATAATGGAGTGAAGTGCTTTGAGTTCTGGTTCTCTTGCCTCTGCAAACTTTCGAATGTTTAGAGTTCGAGGAGGGGGTCGAGGCTTAGCAGAAGCTCCGGTTCTTTTCTCTGACATCATTGCTGTAGTAGTCCGGCCTGTTTGGGTAAAAACAAATCGAATAGGTATTATCATGTTTAAGATCAGTATATTTGGATATATACTGTTAGTGGTTTGGCCGACACCATCAAATTCAGAAGCTTAATATTACGTGTTGTTTGGCAGAGGCTTTCACCAAATATACATAAGCCTATTTATACTATAGATGATATATAATCATAAATTATGTTAAACAGGAAATATAAGAACTACCAAGAGTGAAAAAGACCACTAACAAGTAAATTGCAATTAAATAAATAAATAAATCCACAAGAAATTCTAAAGAGATATTAAATAAATTTTAACAGAATGAAGCAACAAGAACATCTGAAAAATATGGTATTTCAATTTGTCCTAGAATGAAAACTTTACTCAAATTCAAAATTCCAACAAAAAAGCAAAAAGATACTCTAAAGATAAAAGGGACCACATTTAATTCTGGAGGAGAAAAAAATTCACATGAAATTAAATGAAAGATAACAACAAACTATAAAGAAAAAACTAAATGAAACTCTAGAGAGAGGTCGCAGACAAAAACCATCATAAATGCTAGAGTCATATACAACATAATGTCATAACCACCAAGTAAAAGCCACCAAGAATACTGAAGTGGCCCCTGTGTCAAGATAAACCAAACGGCTTGCAGGAGTGCAATATATAAGCCTAAAAATCATACTCCAAAACATGTCATGTTTGTTGAATTTTAACATGGACATTTCCAAAGAGAGAGAAACAACCAAAAGTTGCACAGAGCTACAAAATCTATTATAAAATTTCAAGAGGTGAACTTCTCAAGATATCGCTTGAGCTCAACATGGATATTTCCAAAAGCCACACAAAGAGAGAACTGCATATTGTACAAGGTAATTTTAAACTGTATATGCCAATAGAAGATGTTGCATTATTAGAAGACCACAAAAGAATACATTTCAGATAAAGTACACTACACAAGATTACTACAAAGGCAGAACTTGAAGTTTTCTCTCATTGTCAAAATTTTACTATTCAGCAGAAAGAAAAGGTAGAAGAAAGTTAATTCCCTGGAATTTGATAACAAAGGGCATGAAATTATTCTTAAGAATTATAGCCTTAGAAACCGACCACTAAAACTGGTAGCTGGCAGTGCTTTAGTGCTTTAACTAATAACCTTACCATGGTGAGTCATGATACCACTTACATTATAACAGGACCATTGTGGTGCAAATTAGTATAACAGTACAATGTATATGGTACGTGCATGCAAATTGTATAAAAATTTATTGATATATCACGAAGTTTAATGATTGTGCTAACCAAAGTATTATTTATAGAACAATATTATTGTATAGGCACTATTACTGATAACTCAGGAAAAAAACTTACTCAAAAAATTAGTAAATTCTTAACAAAAATGTACTGCTAACAGAAAATTTCTGGTTAACAGTAAATTTTCACAGATGTTCTTTCTAGATGTGTAAAAAATATTTACAGATAAATCAGTAAATGTTTAAGTATTACAGATAAATCAAAATTACTGATTTTTCATTATAACTGAAAACTCAAAAAAAAAACAAACTCACTAAAAAATCTGTAAATTGTGTAATAGAAATATACTGATTAATCAGTAAAAAATTCACTGGCAAATCAATAAATTTAATGATAACAATGAAAAATCAGTATTACAGACAAATCAATGGCCCTGATACTCGACTGATAAATTATCAAGCACTTACGCCAAAAAAAAACCATATATCATTGTCTAACTTAAATTCAGAAATTCAACCTAAATACCATTTATTGCTTTAATCAAAATTTAACTTAACTCAAATCCAATTGATTACTTAAAAATCAGCCATGGTGCCTGAGATAAAGCTAAAGCAATTAAATCTTCAATGCATGGACAAAGTGTTCTGAGCAGGTTAAAAGGAATGAAAAAAGAGGAAAAAAGAAAGGAAACAACATACCAGTAAATTGGGGAGGGTTGATGTACACAGGCAGCTGACACAGAGGACCATGAAATTTGCGAAAGTTGGCCTATTAGTGAGAGAGAGCTCTCCTTTCGGTTGAGAGAGAGGGGCAAGGGTTTGGGTGAGGAGAGGGGCTCCCCTTTATGTTGAGCGAGAGAGAGAGAGCGCTAGGGTTCAGGGGAGGAGAAAGAGAGAGTCACACAGAGATCAGAGGGACTAGGGTTTGGCCATCTGATAGAGAGAGTGAAAGGGGGCTTAGGTGGTCCGAGCGGTGAAAAAGATTGTGATTTTATAGGGTTTATTGGGTGGGGTGGCGGGAGCGACTCCATTCCCCCTGGTTTTTCTTACACCGTCGCGTAAATTTGAAATTTTGACTTATATATATGAAAATGAAGGACTATATTATATATATGGGATTTCATATCAAGAGGCCGTTTATTTTTAGGTACAGCCATAATTACTATTTTGTAAAATCCTATTGATTTGGGAGTACATCACCATATTTTTTTACTTTGTACCCAATTAAGACCAGTTCTCAGCCGCCCGATTTCACATGTAATAGTCTATAACGAATGTGACCTCGTTATATAAAAAAGGAAATTGTCTTATATTGACATTCCTTATTTATTTATCTTATCCAAATTTCATTTCCTCATATATTTATGAAAAATTTTATATAAGGTGTCAACATATATTATTCAAATAAGGTGCACCATCAAAAATCATTTAGGAGAGAGTGTTTTGATTTTTGCAAACCCTCTAATTGATTATTTCAATCCCGAGATATATAGATACGGTAAAAAAGAATTTTAAGTCTAAAAATAATGCATCTTATAACAAGTTATTTGGACTGTCTATTTTCAAGTGTTTATAAATTTGTTCGGTCCATACTATTTTTTATATTATAAATTTTATAAGTAGAAATGAAAATAAAATTTCAAGCCACCATCAACTTTCTCACACCAAAACTACTTCTCCCAATAAAATTTAAAAGTTCACATTCCCTCATCCGCAATTATTTGTCATAAAAATACTATAACTAAGGTAGATGGATAGCCTTCCTTTTTATCCCACTTGAGATTAAAAGGAAAAACTCGAAACGTTTTCGAATGTACACATTAAATGCACTTTCCCATTAAAAAAAGGGAAAAGTTCATATAAATATGAGGTTCTAAATAATCAAATTTAAGCCTACTTCAAAAATTTCACTAGAAAAGGTTGTTTTGATACTCAAATATCTTCAAATTGATCATCACGACATAAAGATGCATGGACATGAGAAAAAAATGGATTTCAAGTTTTGATGATAGTGTATTTTGCAACGCATTTTTAAACCGTCAATTTTCAAGATCTTCAAATGTTCATGGATCTTTCGATCTACACTGTTTTTTAAGCTTTAAACTTTATAAATAAATATAAAAATATATTTTAAGGCTGTCACAAAGATTTCCAATATTGAAACCACATTTCTCGATACTATTTGAAGGTAGGCTCTAATTTGATTGTTTAAAGCCTAGGCTTTATACAATCCGTGCCCTTAAAAAAACCCCTGGGGTGGGTTTGACTACCTCTGCAGTTTTTTTTTGGACTTTCGTTGGATCTGACAAAAAGTGAAAATTGATAGCCATAAAGTTGGGAATCCTATTTGATAAACTGTGTGGTGCTGCTAATTTTGCCTGTTTGGTAATGTTGGTGCTGGAAAAGTAGGAAACACTGTGTTTTAACCGTTCATTATGAATTTCCACGATTTGATGTGTGCAATATATATTTTTTAATAAGATTTTCTTGTTGTTACCTATTTAATGCATTTTTTATAATGTATGGTTACGATTGAAATTTAATCTCACATCTATGTAACTTAAACATAGCCTCAATAAAATTGCAACAAATATAAAGAACCAGAGAGGTGGAGTTAATCACACGGAACCAAGTGAAACTAAAAGTAAGTTCTTAGTCATGATATTTTTGCAATTTTTATGTTATGAGAAATCAACGAGCAAGAGACAAAAACAAAATATCGACACTAAAAGACCTAAATTGCCTATGAATATTACAAACAAAGAAAAATAACAATTATATGAACTGAGAGGGTCAAAATCATAGGCGCATCACAAATAATTTTACTACAAGAACAACATCAATAAATTGTATAGCTAAATATACTAATCTCAAAACTTTGATTCTAGGTGTACAAACATAACACAACATTGTATGCACCGCATGAGTATTAATAAAGAGAAAATTTCAAAACCAAATCTCAAACAAAACTAAACTAAAACAAACCAAAGCCGGTAAAATAGTTCAAATTTACCTTTTCCAAAATGAATTATACGACAAAAATCCCAATTCAATCTAGAATGATCTTGTCAAATACATAATGAAATAAATATAGTTAAAATTTTCAATTTCATAGCTTTAGCTTTCTATTATCCAGTGAGAGATAATGCCATTTCAACAACATCATAACAAAATTAAACCCCAAACCTTGGCAAAGGTAACCAGAAAAACCTAAGAGTATATTATTCTGCAAAGGATATTCCTCCATAAATGTCAAAAACCAAATAACAGAAAACCCCCTAAATTATATAAGCAAATGACAATAGAGTGGAACCTAGCTTTATAGATATCAAATCCCACTGCATAATACAACCTTCTAAATAAGGTTTCATCAATAAATAAAAATAATAAAATAATACTTGGATTATTAACTTATAAAACCAAATGAAAATTAATTCATTGACACACCACAAAAAAACACAAGCATTGATAGCTACAATAATCAATTAATCAAACATCTAAAGTCCAAAAGATTTTACATAATAGACACAAAATCAAATTAATCAAACTCTTGAGCCTCAAATAGTAATTTCAATAAACAGAAAACTCACATCAAAATTGATGTGACAAACTACAAAAAATAAAACGTAAATAATTAAATTTGTGAATATGTGGGTTTTCTTCTTTGTGCATAACCACGAAAAAAAAAACAAAAAATCAAATAAAAAAGCTCTCTGTAGACTTAGGGTTAACCTTGTTTGAGCTTAATAATAATAATAAATAAATAAATAACCTAAATCAAAAATCAAATCTCATTTATATATGGGATTATCTTTTTTGAGCTCTAAAAAATAAAATTTTTTTAGAAAGACTCACTGTAGCTTTAGCTAAGCTCTTAGCTAGGACCAATGGGGGCGATGAAGGGAAGTAGGTTCCTGCCTTGATTAGTTTTTGCTTTTCTAGCCCCGATGAGTTTTTGCCAGTTAACTTTCCGTGAAAGTAAATTTTCAGAAAAAAAAATTTCTGTGAAAGTTGTAGATCGATTCCAGCAAAACAGTGTTTCAGGGAATGTGGTGGTTCCGACTTTCATCTTTTACTGTTTCCAAACTAGGGGCAAGAGAAAGTTGGGGACTTTCTCAGACATTCACTGATATCAAACGCCCCTCTAAATTTGTATATATCCTTAGAAAAAGATTACTACGGATTTTTCAACAAAGAATTTTCATTTATGTAATTTGGACTGGGTTGTTTTTCTGGCATAAAGCATTTTCTCTATTTTGTATCCTTTACTGTGCATTCAAATGCGATTCAGATAGCAAAGCCTATTTTTTAGAAAATATTTTTCACAATAAATGTATTATACAGGAAATGGACTTTTCAAACCATGTTTGTGTAGAGAGAGATATTAACGGAATAGGAGAGGGAATATAAGATTTATGATGCATTTTTATATTGAAAAAAATACTAAGTGTTATTTGAAAATAATAACCTTCAAAATCATACCCTTCAACGAAAAAAATCTTACCGTCTTGTTGTAAAGAGAGAGGTAGTACGTTCAAAAAAGAGAGAGGTAGTAGTTTTTATTTGTTCCACATGGAGAATGGAAACCTGAAAGTCGTGTTGAGTTCTTAAAGATGAAAATCACATTTAAATATGATAATCCCTTTTATGTTGTCTTATTGTAAATAACCTGACCCTATGTTAATATGTTGTCTTATTGCAGATAACTTGACCCTAATTAACATTGAAGGTGTTAAATCATCTTATTTAATATTAGGAATCTTATATTTAAATTTCATTTTCTTAAGACACCTTATGAAAATGTTTAGTAAAAAAGTAACCAAATTGCTCATGTTTAGGTTGGAAAATTGTCAAATCTACACGACCCAACTAAAACAGATGCTATAGAACATCACAACCTTTTATAAACTAAGTTGCCACCTCGTACAAACTCCATCTTCCTCCTCAACCAGGTTATGAATGGAAATTGATCCATATTCAATGGGTAATTAAACCTTAGATTAGGAGTGGGAAATGGATTGGGTTGACCCGACCAGGTCCATGACTAGACCCAATGGGTCGGGTCTGAGTCCACTTGGCCTTAATCTGACTTGGGTCGGGACGGGGTCCGAGTCCAACATGGATCCTATCAAGGCAAGTGGTTTGGGTTGGAGTCAACCCAATGCAATTCGACCCAATATATACCAGCATACATTACATATAAACAATATTAAATATGAATTATATAATATATGAAGCCAAAAGATATTATGCTCCCACATGTGGGAGTAAAATGCCCATTTATTCCCTCGAGTAAAACTTCTCCTGGAACTAATTTTAGGCCATATTTTGGATATATAACTCCTTCAATCCCATTTAGTAAGATTACTAAAAAATGAGTAATGATCCTATAAGACTCTCCTCCACCCATGTATTTTGGATATATAACTCTTTCAATCCCATTTATTAAGATTAATAAAAAATGAGTAATGATCCTATAAGACCCTCCTCCACCCATGTGTGTAGGACCCCAAAAGATCACCATTAAAGTTGATATAG